CCCCCCCTGATTTTATGTGAGCCGCCCTGAGTCCCCTCAGGGAAAAGGGCGGCCTACAAATGTTAATAAAATCTAAATCTAAATCTAAATAATCTAATTTCCCACATAGCTGATTCTGAAGCCCACAAGCAAGACAGAGTAGAGGCTTATTTCTTCACTTTGTAGCAACAACTGTTGTTCTAAATTTGAAAAAAATGTGATATTGTATTATATATTGTTATATCATACCATTATCACATCATATCACATTATTAATGTTTCTAGGACTTTCACTGAACAGGTAGCAGCTGGGGCAAGGACCAAAATATTTTATTTAATATCAATTACAGTACAGCTGTACTTGGTGTGAAAATAATTAGTCTAGAGACTTCATATAAGAGTGACACCTCTCAACTATTCATTGAAACATTCCACTTATTTCAGAATCTAGCTGAAAAACATAGAAGTAGTAGATTTGCATTCATGCAAAACAAAACAAAAAAAACCCCTTCAAACACTTCTGCCAAATTATTTTCAAACCATTTCAAGCTGTAAATTATTTTTACTGATAATTTTCTAAAATATGATTAAACTCTAGTTATGAATATACCATAACCCTTTCTCTTTCTGTCACAATTTTATTACAGTTAGTCACAATTCCCTGGAAGCTGCGCCAATGACTTCCAGGGGCGTCAGATTGTATTATATTGTGTTTAAACTCCTGTTTTAAAGTCATCACACTGTTCATACTTGAATGTTGTAGGTGAACTGTGAGTCATATAAAAAGGTATGCACTAAGATTTCAACTAGAAAGAAAATTGAAAGTAGAAGTACTTTCAGTTAGGATAAGATATTTATGGAATGCTAGAAAGTATGATTTAGAAAGAGAGCTCAAAGTGGCCATCTATGTCAAAATTAAACAACCCTCTCTCAACAGAGAGCCGAGGTGGCACAGTGGCTAAATGCAGCACTGCAGGCTACTTCAGCTGACTGCAGTTCTGCAGTTCAGCTGTTCAAATCTCACTGGCTCAGGGTTGACTCAGCCTTCCATCCT